AGAAGGTTATGTTTTCAGGGGCGTTCGTGTATGTGTGTGTGTGTGTCTGTCAACACGATAACTTGAGAAGGCCTTGATGGATTGTCTTGATACTTGGTAGGTGGGTAGGTCTTGATGAGACCTCAAAATGATTAGATTTTGGGCCCCCTAGCGGCTTGTTATGGTACTGCAGCTGAACTTCCGGTTTTGATATCTCATGATCTAGACATGCTATGGTGATGAAATTTAGATGGTAGGTAGCTCTTGTGCTGGGGAAGAAGTGATGTGAGTTTAGGCCCCCTAGCGGCTTGCTCTGGAACTGCAGTGATATATTCTTGAAAATATTCAAAAGGGGATAACTCAAGAACCGGTTGACGGATCGTCGTGATTTTTGGTATGTAGGTAGCTTACGTGATCCTTCATATAATTATGTGACAATTATGCAAATATGGATATAATTTGCATAATTTATGGGGAAATTCTATAAATCAGCTGCATTCCATGATAGGACAATTAAAGCTTGTGACATTGGTAATTGACAACGAGAGAAACACAGGAAGATATTGATTATGTTAATAATGACTTAATTTGCATAATTAATGAGAAAATTATATAATTATGTAATGATAACTGCCTGGAATTTCATACTTGTGGTATTTGAAAGTTAAATTGAGGTGAACATCATTAAACATAATTTATTCAAATCAGGACCTCATTTGCATAATTCATTAGGAAATGCTAGAATGCATTGTTTGTTAATACATGTATAAGACTGTTTTTTTGGTTCAGATTATGATAAAATGATATAATTCATGAAAATTAGGTTCCTATTTCTTAAATCAGGGGGGAATAATCTAATCTATAATTTGTCAGTCGTAAAGATTAACATCATTTGGCGAAGGTATGAGATCGGGGAACTCTAGGTTTTAGAATACATTTGGTGTATCTTCCATTTCTTCAGGTCACCGCCAAAAATACACAAAATTAACACTAGTACAGCCCCTGCAGGTAGCAGATTAGGTGATATATGATGCTGTTGTGGCAGTCTCCGACAGCTCTCTATGCCTTGTACCTTTCCACCCACTAGCTGCTGTGTACACAATTCTACACACAAAAGCCCAACTACAGATGTAGAGCAATTAAACCAACGACTTTGGACAGTAAAACATTGTTTTTTATTGAGATAATACTTTTTCCTTATATTGCTTTGAAATTACCTTTTAAACATGATATGTTTCAGGGATGGAAGGGCAACATACCCTTTCATTGGTATAGGGAATATAAGGAATGTATACAAAAACTGGTATTATACTGAACATAAACCCTGACTTAAGGCATGAGACATTTGTATCTATACTCGTCCCAACATACATGTACATGTGAATGTACTTACACATAAATAGTATATCATCAATGTACACATAACAAAACATACTATCATAGACAGGGAAGTCCAAATTCCAATGTAACTTATACTTGATGAAAGAACTAAGTTGATTCATCAAGACAAAGATGTTCACAATGAATTTTATGCAAAATAGGACTTAACTGGCATAATTACTACCATTCCAGTGTTTTATATAATATGGCTTCAATGTGACATATGTAAGTTATTGCAGATGGCAGGATAACAGATACTAATTATACAAATATATCCCTAATTTGCATGATTAATAATACAGTTTTGTAGTATATCTTTTTGTATTGAGTTGTAATCCGTGACCCAGCCCTCACCCTCGAGTATAAATAAAAAGATATGCTGATCATAACTATGCTGTTCATACTGCTTATTTTCATATTTATAGTGACAAAACAAAATTTACAAAAGCTCTGCACATTTCATGGAGTTATGAGACCTCCAAACTCTTGTTTCTATAAGCGATGTGCATCAGGACACTGACAGGAAGTTACACATGTAAGTCAAAGGTGCCAGAAAAGGTTATATTAGTTCCTGCCTTCAATTTCCAGCTATATGCATATCTATTGCTTTATAGGAACCAGTGGGAAAATATATAGACTGAATTAGCAAAAAATTCTCAATAATAAGTAGAACAAAATATTTCAGGGAAGTATATGATTTAATGTTTTTTACATTGACCTTACCTAGGTCTGAAGATATTCATTCCTTCCAAACATTATGTGTTACTTAGTTAGGCACCTGTTCTATCTAATATCATGCCAATCTAGATCATCATGTGCTGAAGTACAAAACTACTCCATAAAGTTGGTCAATATTGAATACAGGCTCTACTCTCGACAGGTCAAAGCTCGTCTTTCTTCTTTTTGTTGTTGTTTGCAAAAAATGTGGTGGGTTTATTGGCAGCTTTCCTCTCACGAGTGACGAAGGCAGTGAAGGTGGAGACACAGTTTCCGACAAAGTGGTCAGCCTGGCCGAGTATCGCCAGGTCAAGCTGGGGAACCTCCGGATTCAGGTGGAACACTGTCAACTGGACAAATCAAGGACATACCTGCTGGGTCAAATTGAGCCTACACTGCACACAATATCAAAGGAATACATTTTGGTATGCTAAAAAGCATTTCAAGGCAGTAGACTTTTAGTCTGGGTGCCATCCTTCATAGTTACCACTGCCTTTCCCTTTTCACTTGCTACCATGGATGCTAGCATAGTTTTTAAGGTTGCAATTAGCATGCTTCATATCAAATTCAAAACATGCAAACAATAAAGAGAACGTAATGCCTCATTTGAGGTAAGAATGAAGCAAAGATGCTTAGTACACCTGCCTAGCAGCCTGTACCATATGGTATGTCGTTCAAATAACATCAATTATAAATAAGTGAATACAGTATTATCAACTATAAGTAGATTTCCTATAGAATTAGAAGGAAGGAAAAGTAACTCACTTGGTTGAATTCCTCCTTAGATCAGGTAACATGGGGTCATTGTCTGTTGCCACAAATATAGACTTGGCTTTCACCTTTTTAACTGCTTTTCTGCATGGAAGAAGAACAATTGTCTGTAGGTGCTACAGCTATTTTAGTACAAAAGTCAGTCCTGTAACGATACAATAACAATGATTTTTTTTCTCACACCCCAAATACTACACATGAAGAAACAAGGCACAGAAATACCTTACAGCCTTAAGCACCTCTTTCTTGGAGGGAAGACACATTTCTTTGGTCAGACTCTTGGCAGTCCTGCGGTCGTACCCGACACACTGACCCGACGCAAACAGGTGTGGCCTGCCCTCATCCACATGCTCGCAGGCTGACTTCTGCAGGGTCAGAAATAAGCAGTCCATCTTTTATTTCAGTGCACAGCAACAGTTGTGGTTTAATAAACAATTCCTTTATACCCCTTTAAATAACCAGGGCTGAAAAAAGTGGCCGTTAAGGCCAGATGACTGGCTTGCAGAAGTGGTCGCTTGGGCAAGTTTGACTATGAACTTTGTAAGCTGTTCTGTTCAGTTTCCAAGTGTGGACACACTCACCCAATCCATTCCATTACGGAGATGAATCCCAGCAAACGGTCGTGATAGGCTCTGGTCAATGACCTTGTTGACCTCAGTCATCATCTTGTCGGACCAGTGCATGTAGCGGTGGAGGTGGATGTTGTGTGGGAGGACGGGGAAGTTGGCCGGGGCACCCATGAAGGCGAGCACGGGGTACTGGTCCGGCGGATATCTGATGGGGACAGAGCAAACTTCAGACCACCAATCTAGATCAATTGGCTGTATCACTATCTGGTGTGGCACCAAATGACTGCTGTTTGCAAATCTCAATGGGATATTGTCTGCAACTTCTAAATTTCTGTAAATTTCTAAACAGCAGCAGTTCTACACACCCTGATATCAAGCTATGTTATTATACACACTTGTTATGTTGAACTATTGAACAGACTGCTGATGAATCTGACCTTTTCTGCCACTTGTCCACCATGCCTCTGTCCTGGGTGTTGTAGGACAGCCCGTCATATAGCTCTGAGCCCACAAAGTTTATATCAAAGTTGTCCCAGAACGGACCAAATGGGTTTCCCTCCTGCAAAATACACCACAAACTCTCAAGCAGTGCATTCAAAATGCTATCAATATCATTACAGTAACTTTTAATTTGTAGCAATACTGATACATCTGTCAGAGAGATGCCGGGAGCATATAGGAATGTGAATGAACATATTTTGAAACCTTAGCAGGACAGGTTTTCTTGTCTGCAGACCTCTGTGCAGCCATGGTGAAGCAGAAGCTCTTGCGGTGCTCTGGAGGCCAGTGTTCTGGTGCCAGCTGCTGCATGAAGTCCTCCATGGGAAGGACACGGTGGAACTCCTGCAGCGGTTCCACCTGGAACCAGTCTGAGTACGGCACATGGAGCTAGAGGGGGCAGGAGGAAATTATTACTGGTCATCACAGTGTTCTAGCCAACCTGAATTTTTTTCAGTCATCTCAGTTTTCTTTGGCATAACATCATGTAGAAGACCGGAGGCAGCTTCCAGAGGAATGACAATCCTAGGGGCCCAGGGAGCATTTTTAAATCTTGACCCTCTGAAACGTAAACTCTGTTTCCTGCATTTTGAGGGGCAAATTTTGCTGGTACTGGTAGACTTATCTTACTCACTTTTAATGACATCTCATATCTTTACAAGCCAATTTTTGGATATCAAAGAAGGCAGATTGGGCAAAATTTTTGTCTGTTATCTTTAAAGGCAAAATTCCGTCTTATTATAAAAAGATGGACGCTGGCTAGAACACTGGCTCACCATGAAGGGAAAAAAGTATTGACTTGATACTTCAAAATTTACATTTTTGGACCTGCCAATGTTTTAGTAACTTCAAGAATTCTGGCGGTAATTCCAACTGGATTTAGCCTTTTGGTAGCATCTCCTGGTCACTGTTGTGAGGATGGGTGCTGACAGTATTGTTTCCCATGCATTTACATTGTGTATGAGTCAACTGAAAAAGGTGAACTCAATGGCACTGCAATGAAAACTGTGACCCAGTGACAGGTGAGAGACTTTACAATGTGCTTACATTTGTGTACGGAGGTATTCTGTGCCTGTACTGGATCCATGGTGGAAGCACCAAAGTTCTGTCCAGGCCCTTAGCAAAATCCAGCGCTCCCAGGAAGTGGTCAGCTTGGTTACCAAACCTCCCTACAACAAAACAGGTTAAGTAAGCCAGCATTGACAATATTAGTCCCCAAAATTAACTAGTTTGTAGTCACAGTATGACTATTTCTTTGAGTCAACGAAATTTTAGGCAGCATCTA